AAGTTTACGAAATAATCAAAATGGTTTGACTCAACACGACACTCATATTGCTAGTACAATTTATGTTATATTATTATATTGTTATGCATGAACAAGTAAGGACATCATTTACGCAATGTATTCATCACAATTAAAACTCTTAATCGTACAACTCGTATTCATTCGCATTGATTTTCAAATTGATTGTAATTCGGAAAGTTTTGAGATACTGTGATAACAATAAACATACACCGGCTATGGTAGTTAAGTAAACATTTTTTCAACCTTTGCGTTTTCTATCGCATTTATGACGGAAAGTGAATTTTTCGTATTAATTTCTGACGCCAAATTCCACCAACGCTCATCGCTACAATACTCACGATACCATCCACACCATCTGGATGCTTGGCGATATACCACTGTGCGACTTACTAGAACTTTTCTTCCTCGTACGATTTCTTTACGGAATTGTTTACCAACGGCGATTATTTGGACCAATACGACTTAGCGACCTTCAAGAAACAAGCTTACTCCTTTTTAAAGGCCGGTAACGTTAGAAATTCACAACAAATTCAAAACATACAATAATCCGCCGAAGAAGATTAGTCAATTTTTACCATCCATGAAGTTTAATATTCCTCTGATGCGGGAGTGAACAAGCTAGATTGTGAATGTGGTCTCTCTTACATAGGACAAAAAATCTACAAAAACCCCCTTGAAAAAACAATTAGTTGACGTGATGCACTGACTATTGCTAGTTAGCCAGTCTTAGCAGAGCTCAAGGTAGAAAATTGATTTGTGAATAATCCAAAATGGATGCTATCTAATGATACGATTCATGGAGTTTAATTTCTCGTTTGAAAAGTTTTTCAAAAAATATAAAATAAAAATCTGATCTATATAAAAATATTATTTTATATTACTTTTTTCCTAGCGTTATTCTATGCAATATCAAGTTCAAGTACTTAAAATATACGGCTACTAAATATAAGGCTGTCCGTTGTTTTAAGAATTTTCATTTATGATTTTCTCAAGTTTTCAACACTTTTTCGTACCCATCGAAAAACCCTTTCTCTTATCTGTTTAAAAGATACCGAATTTTCAAACAAATTGCTCTTTTTGTTTATTCGCTTATAAATTCTATAGTAATGGTTTATTTTTACGGAAACGATAAAAAAATTAAACTATTTTTATCGTTATACTCTTGTTTGTTCATGAAACCAACATTATTTATATACCATTCTATAGATAATTTATTGAAGAATAATTTTGTTACTTTCAACATTCGATTTTGAAACCATTAAAAAAAGCTAAAAAACTTACCGTGAATCGATAACATTACGTTTCAGCTTGAAAACTCGGTAAGGTGAGCTTGTAGAATTTGGGATCATAAATGGTCTTTTGACTCTGTGTCGTTTAGTTATAATTAATGAAAAACGAAACTTCGATTTTTTCATTAGTATGCATTGAAAAAATCCAACGTAGATCTTTAAAATACTTATCTTTCAAAAAATGAGGGGTTATTTCAACTCCTGACATAGATCACTACGAACTTCGTAATAATGCCAACCTGCTCAGACGCTATAAAAGGAGAATTGTTGCATCAATATTATTTTTGTTAACGGTTTGTGTGGAAACTACATTGATTGTATGCGGTTTTCAGTTATCCTACTATTTCTCTACTACTACTAGGTCTACGAACCTTTTTAACGTGCCTATAGCTAAAACGACTTTGGCGCAGGCTTCACCACTCTACGGACTAATCACTATAATATGTAACTTCATGTCAAATAATTCCGATTGTCTTCTCGATTTATTCGGCTACAATCAACCAGTCACAGTTTCTTCGTCAAGATCACTAAAGTAAAGGACCCATTTTTGACCATGATCCAGTTTCTGAACCTTTCAACTTTAATCGATTTTTATAATTTGATTTAAATAATGAATAAAATCATACGAGAATATAAAGTAATATATTCTATACCTAATTGTTTTTAATTACGAATTTATCAAATATGGTAGCTGGATAAAAAAAGTTATAGTTCACTTGAAGTTTAAGTACGTCGTGTTAGCGTGTACGAAGTTTGAATTGAAAACTTTTTGTTACATTAATATAAAAATTTGATAATACGCAAATGAACAAATCAATAGTCATACTAAAGTATAGTTAAATACTAAAATAAACATTTTATTTTTGAATTTTCTTGCTAAAATATGGTCGTCAATAAGGGCCCAATTTTTACGCCTGTTGTAGTTGTTGGATTATTTTCATATATCATTAGGATATAACCTATTAATATGTTATCTTCTTAAATTTTCATCACATTATGCTGCTAAAAATATCAAAGAAGCAATTTATGGTATTTAAAAAAATTCCAAATCTTTTTTCACATTAGCTTACAGCACTGGTTGAGCACTAATTTACTAACTTATGTCATTAGGTGATAATCCATTTTGATATCATTTTTTAGTACGTGTACATACTCTGCTAAAGATGTCAAAGTAGCAGTTCACGGTAGTCAAAGAAAATTCCAAATCCTTTCTAGTATATCGGCAGCACTACATGAGCACTGAATTATGATCTCATATCACCAGGTGAAAACCCACCTGGATGTCAATTTTTGATCACGTACTTTGCTGAACCTGTCCTACTTTGTTTTCGGTATATGGAAAAAAATATTTTAGCGCTATTTTCGCCTGTGCTTGCAGCACTAATTGAGCACTTATTTATCTTATATCGTTAGGTGATAACCTACTGTAATAAGCTGTATTAAGCCGCCATCATTTTAGGAGGTAGAACACTGCTAGCTTAATTAAAAGCTATCAGTTTTATAACTTTCGATCAAGCTATTTTGGCGTGAAAATTAATTTTGGAGCACTAAATTAGCACCAAATTAGCACTAAATGACCTATCCAGCTTTAAAGAGATTGATTGTGTCACTTTTACACCTCTTGATTAATTCATGTTATATTCACAACTAGCTGGGCCCCGCAGTAGTTCTTTTCACCCAGTCATAGGTGTTCATCATGTATAAGCCGCGTGACATGACTTGACACCTAGTTCAAGCATTTTAGATGCAATGTAGGGAAAAAAGATAGCAATGTAGAGAAAATCTGTCATTCGACAAAATACGAACCATACGAAAAGGGGACGACTGTTCCTAACGCACTCGATTTGTACTCTCGAGTACAGTGCTTAATTCTTAAAAAGATAAATTGTGATCTCCAATTACGCGATATAAATGACTCTTTAGACTTTTAATATTAGTCCGAGTCCGAGTACACTTTACTTGTAGGACCGCGGCGGGAAGGAAACCTTTTAAATGCACCCACAAAGCTAGCCGCGCTTAAATCACCGGCAAGTTTTATGTGTACAGCGCGAGTAGTCAAGCACACGAAAATGCAATCATACGCCTTCATAGATCTTACACCACGAGTTACCAACGAGTAAGCGTGACCTTGAACGAGCCAGCAGAGTCTGACCCGGTGTGCATAAAAGGCTCTGCAGATTGTGTTACACGACAAGACCAAAGGTCTCTAAGGTCTAAGTTACGGGAATGACAGCCTACAACGAACTCGAAAGCAAGCTATACATCTGTGCATCCGATTGCGGATTACGTTGCGTGCCGAAAGAATTCAGTAATTCTGACGAAAAATACCCATCAATTCAGGGCCAGCGTGACAATTCAATTCATAATCAACTAATAAATTCAAAATATGATCTTTGTCCGGTAAAACTATAGGACGACGTTGATCGTAACTCAAATGTGAGTTAGATAAGCGTCCACCCACTCTAACAATCCCATTCTGTAAAAAGGCGTTGAACTACACAACTACACAACTACAAATCTTGACAATAAGATTGCAATCTTGTAATTTCATCGGCAAAATGCACACGTAACTATATTACACATAACTATAATCGGATGCAATGATATACGAACGTCGCTATAAAAGCTATACAAATCGGCAAACGTAAATCACACTACGCAATAATTTTGACCAGGAGGAGAAAAGGCTCGCTAAAGCAATGATTGGAGAAATCTCACTCGAAGCACTCACAACCAGAGAGTGCCTCTTCTCTTCCGGTGGTTGGGATACTGACAAAGAGTTAAAATCAGCTATGGGCCTGTACTGGAACTGTAGTATTCTGTGGCTCGACTGCCACTGACACGATGAAATTGTTTAACTTAAAATGGCGTAGGGAAGTGACGACCCCCGGCTGACGTAACAGTTATGTGACAAAACTACTACGTCGGCGCGGTCAGTTAGCGCCCTGCCAAGAGGTGTGAGCGCCGTGCCTAGGCAAAATTGTGGGTGCAAAGGTCCGTTTGTGCATATGACCGAACCACGAAACGGTGCCGGGCTTGGGCGTCTCCCGTTATTTGGCGCCCATTATTGGATGATGGTACAAAGAGGAACGCGCATAGGGCCGCTGCCGGGGGTCGCCGGGGCGCGTCTGGAGCTGGCGCTAGATGCGGCAGCATGTGGGCCGCCAGCCGAGCGCGAGGAGCTGTACGATCACCTAGCAACCCTCCGCATCCATCATCCCCACCAGAAGGCTTGGTGTCGGCTGGGTCTTTTCGGACTCAGCAAGCGGCACCCGCCGCTGGTGGAGCACGTCGCATGCGTTGGTCACAAACAATGAACGCAAACGCACTGCGGGCGTACTTTAGGGCAAAAGGGGAAGAAACCGGATGTTTGGCATATCGGGCTCGGATGCATCGCTTTTTTGCAGAGCTGGAGCCATCTCTATCCGTCACTGAGCAAAACCTGGCAGACCGAGTTCGGTACATCCTGCGCTCCAACATATTTGGTGACTACGACGTGAGACTGTTCCCTCATCGGATGGAAATGCTACGGCTGGGAATGCGGGGCCACTAATTGCGCAGCAAACTGCAAATGTGGACGCTGCCGTCAATATTCCATTTGTGGTTGATTCTGAAGATGATGGAATAGTCCCCCACGAACTAGAGAAAATGAGGAGCATATTGGAAGAGTGGATGCTGGAAACGCGCAGCATGCCTCTCGAAAATCGACCGCGACTTCCCCACGTAGCGTCAATGCTGGTGACCTATTTGGAAGCCAGCCGGGACCTTTGCGAGACGGACTCAATTCTTTTTGGCGCCGCAGTGGCAGTATGCCGTATTATTGGTTCCAAACTTTCCATGGCTGGACGTGCTACTCAACAAGGTAGTGCCATCCCAGCCTGGAGAAAAAGAATCGAGGACCGTATCGCAAAGGCAAGGGCCCTTATCGGCAGACTGAAAAGCTTCAGGTCGGGTAATAATAGACCGAGAGTTGTGTGCACCGTTAAAATGGCGTTTGCTGGGACAAGTATTAGTTTGTCCCAGCCTGATATCACGCAGAAACGAACGGAGCGCATAGATGACCTGAAGCAAAAAAATCGCTGCTTGAGGGAAGCGGATTCGACGATTTAGCGAGAGGTCAAGGCGGTTCAACCAGAATCGTCTCTTCCAGAGTAATCAGAAGAGGCTCTATAAATCATTGGAGCGACCAGAGGTATGTGGAGCGGACCCAGGACCAGATCAGGCTGACACTGTCGCATTTTGGCGTGGCCTGTGGTCAGAGCCCGTAAACCACAGCGAGGGCCTTTGGATGGAAGTTGTAGCGAGCCACAGTGCAAGTGTTACGCCTATGGACCCCGTCACCATAACGCCTGAAGACGTGGCTGAGGTGGTCCGTAGGGCCCCGAACTGGAAAAGTCCGGGGCGCGACGGGCTGCATCATTACAGACTGAAGGGGTTCGTAGTGTGTCACGCTGTGCTCGCCCGACAGTATCAAGAGGCTCTCGATCAGAAGTCGCTCCCGAGCGACCCGAGCAAATATCGCCCCATCATGTGTCTACCCACTCGTCACCTGAAGCTAAATCAGGTGATGTCACACGCTCAAAATGGATGTCGGGGCGGTGGTCGTGGAACCAAGGAACCACTCCTCATTGACGCGGTCATTGGCAAAGTGGTGAAACGCAACTGTCGGAACTTCTCCGCCGCCTGGATAGACTACAGAAAACCATTCGACTCGGTGCCTCATACATGGCTAAAGAGGGTCCTCGAACTGTACAAGATTGACTGTACAGTTAGAGACTTCCTCGAGCAGTGTATGGGGAAGTGGAGTACGATCCTCTTGGCGAGCGGATGATGGCTGCGGAGAACCACATAAAAATAAGAAGGGGTATCTTCCGGGGTGATTTTCTGAGTCCAATCTGGTTCTGCCTCTCTCTGAAACCTCTCTGTACCTTACTGGAGGGCTCCGGGAGAGGATTTCAGCTACGAAAGGGAGGAACAAAAGTGACCCACCTTTTCTATATGGATGACCTCAAGTTATTCGCCTCCAGTCGCTCCCATCTTATGGAATTGCTAAACATCACTTGTAAATTTAGCAATTCTATTGGAATGGAGCTGGGGACGGATAAGTGCGCGGTCCTTCATGTTGAAAGGGGAAGGGTTGCTAACTCTGAGCATAGATTTAAATCTATGCCCGTCAACTTAAAGACCCTTTTCGAGGCTGAAACATACCGATACCTGGGTATGTCACAGAACATCGGTATCGATGAGGCTGGTATGAAATAGTCAGTTTGCGACGTGTTTTATGCACGCTTGACCAAAGTGCTTAACAGCCTTTTGTCCGGTGTGAATAAGACACACGCATATAACGGTTGGGTCATGCCTGTCCTCATATATACCTTTGGCATACTCAGGTGGGCTCAGACCGAACTTAACGCCCTGGATAGAAAAGTCCGCACTACCATGACGTCCCATAGGATGCATCATCCGAGATCGTCGGTAATGAGGCTGTACTTGCCGCTGAAGCATGGTGGTCGTGGCTTCTTGAGCGCGCTCACCATGCATAATCGCGAAGTGTGCAGCCTCCGTGATTACTTCCTGGCGAGATCGGATGATCCATTCTATAAGGACGTCATTTCTAGTGATAAAGGGCTTACCCCTCTATCCTTAGCCAACGAGCAATGGCAGGACCCGACAGTGCATAGCATTTACGACCGGGAGACCGTATGGAAGGAGAAGGAGCTCCACGGGAGGTACTACAAGGCTCTTCATGAGCCCTTCGTAGACACAATCGCCTCCCACAACTGGCTACGTTTTGGCGACCTCTTCAGGGAAACCGAGGGTTTTGTCTGTGCAATACAGGATCAGGTTATTAAGACCAACAACTATCGGAGATACATCCTAAAGGATGGCACCGTCGACGTCTGTCGAGCTTGTTGCCATCCAGGTGAGTCACTTAGGCATGTCATCTCCGGTTGTTCGGCGCTTTCTAACTCTGAGTACTTGCACAGGTACAACCTAGTAGCCAGAATTCTACACCAGGAGCTCGCTCTGAAATACGGTCTCGTGGACCGGAAATTGCCGTATTACAAGTACTTGCCGGAAGCCGTTCTTGAAAATGACCGCGCCAGGCTCTACTGGGACCGGGCCATCATCACAGACAGGACTATTCTTGTGAATAAGCCTGATATTGTGCTGATGGACCGGGCACAGTTAAGGATATTTTTGGTCGATATTACCATCCCGTATGACGAGAACCTCGTGAAAGCCGAAACAGATAAGCAATCAAAATATCTGGACCTGGCTCACGAAGTGACCGACATGTGGGGTGGTCTGCCGACCAAAAATATTCCTGTAGTCGTCTCTGCGAATGGGCTAATCGCAGTAAGCCTCTCTGGTCATCTGAGGCGACTGGGACTCCGTGACGGACCGCTCCGGGCTCAAATGCAGAAGGCGGTGCTCCTTGATACTGCCCGCCTCGTCCGCCGGTTTCTTTCCCTTTCCCCCTAACCCTTGGCCGTTTGGTCTACCCTGCCGAGGGCTTGCAGCGGTTGGGCTTTTATTTATTTATGTATTTTTGATTTTTTTTTTTTTATTTTATATTCTTTTATTTTCATTTATAATTATATATTTATACATCCCAACCAGATGAGAAAACTATATAGATACTCCACATAATAATAAATCAATAATAATTAATACGTGCGTGCGTACGTTCGCGCGTGCGTGCTTGCGTACATGCTTGCGTGCGAGCGTGGCAATCTATGGGAGAGGCCTATATTCAGCAGTGGCTTTAATAGTTTGAATGAATGAATTATTAATATTTGAGCCACGTTGCTTACTGGTGAAAATCTGACTTATAAATTGCGTGTGTAAGTTTCGACCTCAGATGTGACCATTATTCGTTAAATACGTAAATTTGATACTTTAAATCTTTTATTTTTTAATCTTATATTTTATTGTCTTTGGCTGTACCTAACTGTCCCGATACAATGTCCACAGTTTTCGATTGTATCTGACATAATCGTTAACTTACATATGTAAAGACTAGCATTACCTTTAGGTACACCTTTTTTCATTGAAGCAGGTATTTTAAAAATGAAAGCGCGACAGAAACTATATCTAGCTAATCTACTGTTTGAACTTGTCAAAACTAAGTCGCCCCTATATTTATATGATAAACTTATATGGAGAATTCGACAAAACATCATTAGGTCTTGTACGAACCCGCTTGCCAATCCCACTTACAGTTCTATAGCTTTCAGAGGTAGTTTTAAATATTAGCTACTAGGTGCTGAAACGACATTCTTCCGCCTATTCATGAGTGTAATTCAAAGTATAATTTTAAATCAGCGTACGTGGCTGCGTGCGTGCGTGCGTGCCTGCGTGCAAGAGTGTGTGCGTTAGTGCGTGCAAACGTACGTGCCTGCATGCGAGGATGCGCGCGTGCGTGCGTGCGTAAGTCTTACTTGCATTCATGCGTGCGTGCATAAGTCGTGCATGCGTACGTGCGTAAGTTGTGTGTGCGTGCTTGCGTACATGCTTGCGTGCGGGCCTGCGAGCGTGGCAATCTATGGGGTAGGCCTATGTTCAGCAGTGGCTTTAATAGTTTGAATGAATGAATGAATTAATATTTGAGCCACGTTGCTTACTGATGAATATCTGACTTATAAATTGCGGGTGTAAGTTTCGACCTCAGATGTGGCCACCTTTCGTTAAATACGAAAATTTGATACTATAAATCTTTTATTTTTTAATCTTTTATTTTATTGTCTTCGGCTTAACCTAACTGTCCCCAGTGTTTCCGATACAATATCCACAGTTTTCGATTGTATCTAACATAATCGTTAACTTACATATGTAAAGACTAACATTACCTTTAGGTACACCTTTTTTCATTGAAGCAGGTGTTTTAAAAATGAAAGCGCGACAGAAACTATATCTAGCTAATCTACTGTTTGAAGTTGTCAAAACTAAGTCGCTCCTATATTTATATGATAAACTTATATGTAGAAGTCGACAAAACATTATTAGGTCTTGTACGAACCCGCTTGCCAATCCCACTTACAGTTCTGTAGCTTTCAGAGGTAGTTTTAAATATTAGCTACTAGGTACTGAAACGACATTCCTCCGCCTATTCATGAGTGTAATTCAAAGTATAATTTTAAATCACACTATAAAAATATTTTATTACACTTACAAAAAGCTCAACCTCGAGCCTACAGCAGATGTTTATTCCAGCATCGTTGAGCATTATGATGTGTTTGTATTTAGTGTGCATTTACCAAGCTTATCGTTACGTTTATCTATGTATATATTTAGAATTTTTATATAGTATGCATGTGTGTACATCTCTAATGTAAATATATGTATATATATACAGGGTTACTGGTAATTCGACGTATTCCCGCCAAGGCGTGATAGTTGGGGTCATAACCTATCAAATGAATCATAAAATGCATTATGCAAATGTGGACCAATTTCGAGATATTTAGGTTTAATTATTTTTTTCAAAAATCCCAAAAGTCTGATATCAAAAATTTCTAAAAAAAACTTACAGCTGTATTATTTTCATTTTATTATTTTTACTTAATGAAAACCTGGATACTTATTTATCAATACTACAGTGTGCAAAAAGTCTCATCATTTTCGAAGTAACGCTACTAAAAGTACAACTTTTTCCAAACAGAAGATAAGTAATTAAAAATAAAAATTATTTTGTGAAAAATAATTGTATGTGACCAATTGTGCAAATAATGTTAAAAACATCCCTACTTATCTAGCTACCCAACGAAATATCAATTTAGCTTGTAACTAAAATAGTACAGAAAAAACTTGAAAAAAGGGGTCAGGTAGACAAGTTCCGATTAGCAATGTTTTGGGTAATCCCAAACAATCGCTTCTCGGAACCTTATCAACAGCTGCGGGAATGCTCGTAAAAGATTGTGCGTTTGAACTTACGCTATTGTTTACATTTAGTGTGAAATTAGAAACAAGTTAAACAAGAAGAAACTGTTCAATCAGTCATCAGTATTACAGGCATCGTACACACGCGCGCATATTCCTCCCTTTTACACTTAGAGGTTGAGTTTCAAAGTTTTATGGCGGCGGAACAACCAAGACACGGAGATCATGCAAGTGACGCTACAGCTGCTCGCCGTGAATACCTACAGCGCTACCCTAATCGCCGACCACCCCATGTCACAGTGTTTAGTGCAGTGTATCGTAGAGTACGAGGGACTGGAAATGTTCAAAGGCAACAACGTGATGCTGGCAGGCCACGTGGCATACCCCGTATACCGCGTGCGGAAGATCGGAAGAACGGTCACGTTCCATAGAAAAAAAACACAGACCCTACAGAAACGCGACATATATCAGTTTATTTGTTATTTTTTATATAATTAATTTTTATATTTTTTATGTTCGAATTCAATGGCTAACACCAAAATATTGCCTTATGTTTTTGTTCAGGCGATACACAAAAAATAAAATACAAAATCCCTAATTATCTACAAAATTCGTAAATATATGTAAGTAAATGACAATAAAATCGCTGTTGAATGTATCTAGGTGACCTGGGAATGCAGCTGGATTATATAATTTTTGAACTCCTAGTACAATAATCAACTTAGGATCCATTAAAATCGTCGTATTAGATGACTTATTGCAGATCGGAGATTTTGGTACCTACCATTGGGGTTCCATGATCTATAACAAAAAAAAATATGTCAAACTAAAGTTTTATTGAATTTCTATGTCCCTTAAAACATAATCCATACCCAGTGCGGGGTGGTCAAAGTGATCTTGATGTCTAGCCCACCCTAAGTAATACACAACACTAATGACGTGTGAGCAACTTCCCAATGTCCTTTTACCATCGTAGCACGAGCAGTAATATTCTGTTATTACGTTTATTCCATTTACATTCTCATCAAACATAATATAAGTATAATACTTTTTTGTCGTAACGTGTCGTGAATGAATTCTGCACCTGAATAGAGTATTATTGTTTCTGCCCTGTGTAGGTACAAATCGAGAACTTAATTAAGTCTTCAACTGTAAGTTGTGGAAAATTTTCAACTTCGGGATCATTTGCAGTCATTCTGTGAAACGTCACTCTTTGTCTGTTGAGATTGTTCTCCTCCACATACTCGGCCAGTCGATTGGGGCGTTGTATATTACGATTAATTATTTCGATAAAATCCTCAGTGTACGGACTGTCTTCGTACGGATCTTGAAAATAAGCTGCAGCAAATCTAAAATCTTCAAATATATGCGGCACATGTTTGTTAAATACTCTGTTTCTGAATATCTTGAAGTCACGCTTGAATCTGCCGTTTATAGTTTCGACGACCCATCGCACCATTGTAATAAGTCTCGATTTATTAGCTTGATCGGTGCTTAATTGCGTGTCTTGTCTTCGTTTGTTTGGCGGCATATGAGCATCATAGCCATATGTTTCAATTAAGGGAATGGAATCCCGAAAGCCTCGGTCCAAAATAAACACGTCTCCTTGATGAAAAAAATAATGGAACGGTCCGTCTTCAATGGGAGCATCATAGTTTTCCAATATCATTTTCATTATGTCAGCATCAGTTGTCGTGCAGAGTACAGACCTGTTACGTCCAAAATATATCCATCCGCACACACCATCATGAATGGTTTTATTAGATTTTTGTACCTATGAAGGCTATAAGTGCGGTGTTGAAATAAAAAGTTAGAACTTTTTTCTATATAGATGTAAGTTCCATCGAATATAATTATTGGTTTTGGTGACACTTCGTTACCAAAACAAAAATTTGGTATGGCTCGGTTGTGGGCTATCACTTCGTCCCTGGTTATATGGTCTAAACCAAGGTGCAACGGAACAAAGTCAGTAGTGAGACACTGCCTTACTTTATTTATTTTTCTTCCAACAGTTTGCTCGGATATATTGAAAAGTGAAGCGATTCTATTATTCGGCTCGCCTGATCGAATTTTGCACAAGTAGATATAGCCAAGTCATTTCTTGGAGTATTTGAGGACCGATTAAGGCTAGGTATTTGACTCAGCAAATCGTTGAGTGTGGCTCTGTTTCTTCCAGTCCAAAAGCTTAACTCCTCATCAGAAACGTCATCTACATTAAAGTTTGACCTTTGTTCTAAAGCTTGTGTATGCAAATTGATGATGTCGCCAACACTCTCCGGATTCAAGTCGGTCATTTGATTTATTACATTTTCGGGAATCTCTTCTATCGCCATGTGTATTAAATGCCATTGGCAAATGCGGGCATGATTTGGTACATAAAAATGGTAATAACTGAGGAGTTGCACCTTCACCGAATTAGGCACTTGACGCAGAGAACCGTAGTTGCAGTTGTCAATTAAACATCGCCGGGCCGTATTAGAACAACAGCAGCTGGTGGGGCAGGAGTAGGTGAGGCTTGTCGCTCTTGATTAATTGCAGCATCGATTCTATGTCAACATGAGTGGCAAATCGATCGAGTTCCATCGAAGGCTATCTGTAACAAAAAAAAATACAAAACATTAAAACAAACTGAAATAATATAACTTAATGCTACCATATATTGTGAAATCCAACTGTCTTATTTTTTAGCACTGAACCTTATTTAACTACATTTTTTACATAAAGTATAAAATTGAGGCGGCAGTAACAAAGAAAATCATAATACGAGTACCTAAGAACTAAAGCTTCGCGTACACCTAATCCGTCACAGGCCGAAGTTTGCTCGGGCGACGACGGCCGAACTCGGACGATCGAATCAAACACTTGTAAAACAAAGAGAGCGCGTACACAAACTCGACCGTTAACGTCCGATGACGTACGAAAACGGCCGATTAACCGTTGAGTCTAAGTCCGAACTTGTTGGGATTTCTTGCCAGACTGCCGGGTTCTGGCGTCTACACTCTACAGCGCAAATTGAGTGAATTTATAGTTTAAGTTAATCATTCTGTCTTTATTCTGTTGTTTCTGTTAGTATTGTTATCCATCTAAGCGACTATGGATGTGAAACAATTAGTTGCGCATAAATATTTTATTAACCTTCACGCCGATGTCGCCGACGATGACGTCGACGAATTAAAAATGCAGTATGGATTTTCTAGAAGATACATTTGTTTGGATTCCTCCATTTTAAAAATGCGTCTTCACTCTGTTAAGCAACTACAGAATACCGGATACGTCCAATATCGGCACAAGTGGTACACTGTTGCAGTGTAAGCACATACACGTCCGAGTTACTCGTCTGGTTAGTTCTGTCCGCCATCGGCCGACAAAATCGGTTTTGGTGTACACGTACACTAACACGTGATGTTGTCTATTCACGCTAACTAACATAAGTACCTAACTATCAATATCTTACAATTCATCAAGCTTTTATATTGCGAAAGGCTTTAATTACAAATAAGTATCAAAAATGATATACATACCTCACCACTAACGATATGTAATAGTTCGATAGATCGAAATCTCTTCGAGTTTCCAGTAATCGTTCATTGAGAACGTATGAACGACGACGACGTAGTGTACGTTCACACGCAGCACAATTATTAGTATTGTCAGCCATATCAACGAATCACTCACAATGCAAAAATCAAGTCCGGTAAAAAGAAAGCCAAAAATCAACGAAAAAATGCAATCTTGAAAACAAAAACACACAGATCTCAACACAGAATGCGAAGGACTGCGACGGACGCCGACCGATAGTGCGTTGCGTCAGCGCACGCCCATCCCTCCCCGCGTCCCGCCATTGTTGTTTTATTGAAAGAGTGAGATAGCATGATTGGTTTCTGTCTTAACCAGGCTACCTGAGTCGTAGCGTGACCATTTTTATACATATAACTTCCTATTATGCAATAAATAATCTACGACGATTTTAATGAATCCTAAGTTGATTGTTGTAATGGAAGTTTAAAAGTAATAATCAGCTGCATCTCGGAAGTTTAAAAGTTACATAATCCAGCTGCATCCCCAAGTTACTTTGTTAGTTTGGTAACTTGAGTTAGGTACTTAAGTTAATTTGGTGGATAAAAGGGCATTTTGTATTTTTTTTTCGTGTAGCGCCTGAACAAAAACATCAGGCAATATCTTAGTGTTAGCCATTGATTTCGAATATAAAAAATACATAATTTAACTGTATAAAAAATAACAAAAAAACTGAGATATTTCTCGTTTCAGTCGGGTCTGGGTCACAGATGACCGTTCTCCTTTCAGGAAGATCCAACCACTTCCACGAACATAGTTGCTCATCGCTTAGGTGTAAGGGAGGACTTATCCGAATTGTTACACGATGTTCCTCTCGCTACAAGGCAAAACATGTCGTATCAACATGATGGGTGTCCTGCACACTGTCGTGTATAGGGTTGCCAGATCGGAAGACCAAAATATCTGGATAAAATTTAAAAATGTCGGGATTTTGGGGTTGCTGTCGGGAGAAATAAATGTTAAAAATAAAAATGTAAAACAAAAATATTATTTTTTAAATTAATGGGCTACAAATATATTTAACTTAGTTGACAGATAATTAATGTAATACATTACACTTAATTTTGGGGTTCCTTTAGTGGAATTCAGAAAAGATTTAAAATTCAGTCGTCAGTCAACTGAGTCTATTTTAAATCTTTATCTTCTGTCACTGTTTTATATATATATATATATATACGATTCTTGAACACATTTAATGATTGAGCACTTTTGATTGACTGGGGTAAGGAGCGTGGTTTAAAAGATAAAAGTTGGTTTATAAATTTTCCAGAAAATCACCCTTTGATAGGTAGATGGCACAAAAGTATTTCGTTATATAAAAAACAAAAAATAATATAACTTTTTATAAAACTGAACTGACAAAAAAGACCTCTGTTTTATATATATATATATATATATATATATATATATATATATATATATATATATATATATATATATATATATATATATATATATATATTATATAAATATATATATATATATATGTGTGTATATATATGCTAGCTTGCCAGGCAGACGTTGTTCTGTCCTTTTCGATGACCCTTTGTCATGTGCTATTAAAAATCTTTAAATTCGCATAAAAAGTTGTGGATTACTCATGGGCAAAAAACTATCCTATCTCTCAAGTTGGACCAAACCGCACACGGTGTGCAAATTTGATTAAAATCGGTTAAGTAGTTTAGAAGTCCATCGCGGACAAACAACGTGACACGTAATTTATATATATTAAGATATATTTATATATATATATATACGTTTGATTTTGACGATTCAAACGGATCCACATAAAAATCTAGCAGCTTTTTAGATATCCCTGTCTCTGTATTAAAAAATTGCACAGCGTAAGGGTAGATTCTGATGTTTCCAACATTAGAAACATTGCTTTCTACCGAAAAATACTCAGCGTCCTAAGTTCGGTAACGACTTGTCCTTGTGAATGAATGAATATACTTTATTGCACACCACAAACAAATTTACAAAGAACATAACAGAGAGCAGATTACATGTACAATTTGGCGGCCTTATCGCTACATAGCGATCTCTTCCAGGCAACCAAAGGTGTAAAGGAATAAAACAGTGAATACTAGGTAGGTGGTGCAATATAAATATACCTAATATAATATCAATACATGCAATAAAATAACATATAAATAACTAATACATTAAAAAATATGATACACATATACATACGTATATACATAAACATACACACACATATATATACATACATATTCATTCTATACATATACATACATACATACATACATATACACATATACATATATATATATACACATATATACATACATATACATATATACATACATATATCCTCAAATATATACCACTAACAATAACATAAACAAATAAATACAAAACTACATAATCACATAATTTATCCTAATGATTTTCGAACGATTGAGACAAGTAATGCTCTTTAAGAAGTCGCTTAAAGACTACAATAGTCTGAGCTTCGCGTATATACAAAGGTAGGGCATTCCAGAGCTTAATAGACTGTACAGTAAAAGATTTATTAAAGAAAGATGTATTGTGAGTTGGTATCCTTAAAATGAGTTTTCTTGAAGAGCGTAAAGGTTCCCCTGGAAGCCCAACAAAACTAAACTTCTCCTTAAGATAAGGAGGAGTAGAAGGGTGAAATAAGACACATTACAGAATAGAAAGAATGTGCATGTTCCGGCGAAATTGGATAGGTAACCACTTGAGACGTGAGCGATATTGGGAAATGTGGTCAAATTTGCGCAATCCAAATATGAACCGAATACTAGTATTTTGAAGTCTCTCAAGCTTAGTTAGCAGGTTTTTAGTTATGTCTACATAGCTTGCGTCAGCATAGTCGAGAATCGGAAGGAGAAGAGACTGTGCGAGCATAATTTTTGTAGGAATGGGAAGAAATGATCGAAGGCGACGCAGTGAACTAAGAGCGACAAAGGTTTTCTTACTTACCTCATTCAGTTGGCGTTTCCAATTTAAGGAACTATCAAGGTAAACACCAAGATTTTTGACATTGTCAAAGTAAGGGATCACAACCCCATCGAATACAACAGGTGGTATGGAGAACCAGTCAATTCTTGAGAT